GTAAGGTGGCTATGTGGTGCGGCAGTGATGAAGAAGTGGAAGTGGTAGGAGGGAGGGAATTGGGGATGTTGCTGCATAGCCCACGTAGCAGCAACTGTTGTGCGGCGAAATGAGCCCATTTTGGAGTCCATTTTGATAATCCGAACTGTTCACATTTTAGAATACATAAAGTAGAACATGTCTGCAAAATATCAAGTTAATTGGATATCGTTTACCCATTCATTCACTCACATTTGTATCTACAAAAATAAATAATAATTGTGATTTAAAGTATGAAAATGAATACAAATGTGAGTGGATGAATGAGTAAATGATATCCGATTAATTTGATTTTTTGTAGGCATGTTCTACTTGATATATTCTAAAATGTGAATGGTTCAGATTATCAGTTGTGGGCCCATTTCGCCACACAACAGTTGCTGATGTGCGGGTTGCGTAGCAACATTCCCAGAAAGAGATGTAATAGAGTATCTCTATCAAATTAGTTATTCTTATATTGAGCAATGATTGAGACCCTCACAAATTTGGACTGATGTGAACCCCACACATATATGGAGAGTCAGGATCACTTTTAGGGTGTGGGGGTCATCCCCAAAGGGGGACGGACCTAAACATTTTCCTTTTTTAGTTAAATAGTGAGTAAGAGTTGTTTGGAATGATCTAAATAAGTACACTTTTTGACTTTTTACGAAAAAACGTGAAATATGGGTTGGGTTTGAAGTAATGTTTTAAAGAAATGATGTGATTTAAATAGATGATGTGCCTTAAATAGGATAGTGACTTTTTGACTTTTTGAATTTTTTAGATTATGCGAAACTAGGCCTAAATCACTAAATTTCACTTTTGTCAAGTTAATTATTTTAATTTTGGTAGTTTTGACTCAACAAATATAACTAGTGGTTCCACCTAATTAAATATTAAAAAAAATGTTACTTTCATATTTTGAAATTAATTATGTTGAGTTTACAAAAAATTATTTTTAAATTAAAATGAATAAAAATAATATTTAAATAATATAGAAAAAGAATAGAGAATTTGTTGGATAACATATTTAAAAAAGTGTATAGTTAAAATAGAAAAATTAATTTTTAAATTAAAATATAATAAAATTTTAATTAGTTTGATTGAGATATCTTAAAGTGAATTGGTTGGGGGTAAGGATAATTTTATCATTTCACAAGTATGAGATAACTGTTGAATTTTTTCAAAAATCACAAAAATAAAAGAAAAATTACTGCAGTAATTTCTATACATTGATACTTGTGTCATTTTAATTCTTATAATTTTAATTGACTCATTTTGATTTTGAATTTATGATATCCAATTGAATATAACTCCTAGTATCTTTTTATGAAAAATACATGCGTTATATTTTTAAGGGTAAAATTATAAATTTACTAAAGTCAGTGAGTTAATCTCAACTAATTTAGCAATAATTTTTTATAAAAAAATTAATGATATTATCAATTGGATCAAATTGATATAAATTAAAATTAAAATTATAGATCATAATTGAGAAAATTAAAAGCATAGTTTTTAATATCGTATCGGACAATATATTGTTTTTAACATTGGTACGGTAAGTACCGGTATATTTTTCAATACCATTTCAAATTTTCAGAACATAGAAAACATTTATATTAAAATCAACATCATACAAAAACAAAACCCTAAAAGGCTATACAAATCATATAACAAAACGAAAAGAAAAAAAACAAACAAAAAAAAAAAAAAAAACAACAACAACAACAAAATCGCCAAAAAAAATCAACTACAAGCCAAGAAAAACTACCAATCTTTTCAAAGATGTAATCTAGAAAGCAAGATCTACTTCAAACCAAACAAGATTTGCTTGAAAGCCTGTCATTAAGAGTGTAAAAATTGTCCATGGCTCGGGGTGGGCCCTGCCCGTTTAGACCCCTTTGGGCCCGAGCCCAGTCCGAGCCCCTGGGATTGGGCCCGGGCCATCATTTTGAAGCCTGACTCGACTCGTGGGTCCGACCCGCTTAATGTCCACTCAAGTCCCGACTCGAGGCCCAATATCTTTTTTAGTAGAAAATAATAAAATTTTGGTAAAAAAAATTTAAAAAAAAAAACAAAAAAATATGGTCAAGCCCGCCCAAGTCCAGGTCCATTGGCCCAGCCCACCAGCTCGCCTAAGGCCCGAATACCCCTAGGCCTGGGCCTAATTTTTTTGGCTCGTGGACCGGCCCGGCTTGGTCCAAATTTTGGTGGGAGCCCGCGAGGCCCAACATGGGCCGGCCCGAGCCGAGCCAGATTTACACGCCTACTTGTCGTTCCCGTTGACGTCATCCCTATCGCTGCTGCTCACCTCCACCGCCATTATATTTCAAACACCGTTAGAAGTTAGAGTTGAAAAGTATTGAATAAATTTTTTGATACACAAGAATAAAATTTTCATGCTAAAATCCAAAAGTAACTAAATTAGAGATCCCAATTTTTATTTTTTATTTTTTTTATATTTCAATACATTAAAAATTAAAAAAAAAAATTATCTTAGAGTGTGAGTAAAATTTAAAAAAACAAAGGTTGCATTTAGTTTAGTTTTGGAATTATGATTATCTTTTTGGAGTTATGATTTGAGTGTTGAATTGTGAGTTGAGTTTTGAAAAGAGAAAATTTGTTTAGTTATGAGTTTTGAAAGGAATTTTTGAATTTTAAATTTTGAAAAGAGCAGATTGGGTCTACCCAATCGTCCACCTGGACATCCTTCTGGACGTCCAGCCAGTTGACCGGAACAGTGTAACTTTTTTTTTTTTTTTGCAATTTCAACCTGTTATTTGAATATATATATATATATATATTAGATATTTTTTAAATATAGAAATTATTTTTTTAGATTTTTTTATAAAAATAATTTAATAATCCTATCACTAACTATCTTCAACACTACATCATCAAAAGAGTTTTGAATTGAATTTTGAGTTGTGTGTTTGATTATAAATTTTGAAATTAATTTTTGAATGAATAATTTTAAATTGTGTATTTAGTTATGAATTTTGAATGAAAATTTTGCAGCAAAGATTTGTTTTTTTCAACAAAACAATAAATGAAGAAAAGTCCTGATGAGTACATGATGAGTTGTCTTTTCAAAATGGTTGACTACTTCAATGCAATTATTAATTAATTAAAGAAAAAAAATTATCTCTCAATTCCCCGTTTACGTTTTCAATTTTGCACCTTTTGGTCTCTATCTCTTCCCAATCCCTTTCACCTTATCATCTTCTTCACTAGTGAGAAAAAGCAATTTGGGTTTACTGAGAACGTGGAGACCGATTTTACTATCTTAGTAGTATGGTACAAGATTAATAACATTGATTAAAAGTGTAGAAATTAAAATAATACAAGAAGTAAAATGTAAATATTATTAGTGTACGAGCACGAAATAATTCTTCTCGTATGATCCTGTTGATCAAGTTTGCGCTCCTCCAAACGTCGTTGCTTTACTTCATGAAAATACAAACGTGAGTTAGCCGGCGGGTGTGTGCCGGAAACCCTTCTGATGCCTAAGTCAGCAAATAGACAATAGACACTAAGCTCTGTGTATTCTAGAGTAGAAATTGGAATATCTGTACAAAGGTCTGGTCATGAGCTTTTATAGATTTTACTTTGGCACAATCCTAGTAGGATTCCAACTATCTCTATGAGAGTCCTCCTAGGAACACCCTACTCACTACCAACCAAGTGAGATGGTTTTGCACAATCCTAGTAGGACTCTACTCTCCTTAGCAGAGTCCTCCTAGGAGTCATGGTTTGCACAATCCCAGTAGGACTCTAACTCTCCTTAGCAGAGTCCTACTAGGAGTCTCATCACTGCATGCCAAGTGAGATGGCTGAACCCTTTACCTCGGTTATACATTTCTGACCGAATTGCCTTATCTTGGTCCTCTGCCATTCAGACCGTGTGATTGAAAGCCAATCTATCGAATGCCACCCTGCCGAGCTATACACAGCTCGGCCCTTGCCATTGATGTTACATCCTTTACCTCGGCTGACATCTTTACCTCGATTGACATTGCGGTCAACCAGGTTATTTCGGCTCGATGATGCTTTTAGCACCACTGTCAATCTTAATCTTGACTCTGAGATGACGCCCTGCAGAGCTATCCTTTAGCTCGGTTCTCCCCCCACTGATACCTTGGTTTTAGCTCGGTTTAGACCGAGTTAACTGCAGCAGTCTCCGACCGAACTAACAAGGACGAGGTCTAACTTGCGAAGCCCAAACACCTCGGCCCATAGTTCGGCCCAAATCCGTAATATGAGATGTCTTCTTGGCCTAAGACCGAGCTACATCAGCCCTTATCTCGGTTCATTGCGCGGCCCAGTTCCCAAAGAAGACTCTTCCTAGCTCGGCCCAATTTGTTTACAAATTACCCTCTCAACTAGTGTAATTTGTCTAAAAATAAAAAGATTTGTTTAACTTGTTTAGAAATAAATTGTCATTCTTTGTCCCTCTCCAACTCTATTTGGCCACCACCAACGGTCCTCAGCAACACCGACCAACCACCACTTAACTACCTTTGGTGGCTAGCAACAATCTCTTGTGGACAAAAGCCACTTCTACCTCTGGCCACAGATAACCACCACCGGCAATAACTTCATGTTGGAAACCACCTTTGGCCGAAAAATGCCTTTGACCACCATCTTATGCTGTATTTAGTTGAAGGATTTGAAAAGGGATTTAAAAAAAGAATAAGAAAATGTGTGTGAAACTAGGTGAAATGTAGGTATATTTTATTTACATTTCACCTTTCTTTTCCATTTCCCTTTCTAAATTCTTTTCCAAATCCTCAAACTAAACACAACATTAGAGAAAGGATTTTTCAGGAGTAAATATGAAATTTTCAAAAAAGTCAAATGCTGACTATATTAGGTGATTGTCAAACTTGGCCAATTTTTGTTGACGAACTGGTTGGAAGTCATTGTCTCATTGAGCTGGTTCTAATTTCCTTGTTTATTTCCTAGTCCATAGATCAACATTGTCCAAGGCAAATGGACACTAGAACTATAGTTGCCTATGCAATTCTCCTAGCTTTGTTATTGCTTTTGAACTGTGTTGTTGAATTGCAAAAAGGCAGTGCAACAGACACAATTTTTCAATCTAAAACAGTTTCAGTAGGAGAAACTCTCATATCTGCAGGCCAAATCTTCGAGTTAGGCTTCTTTAGTCCTGGAAATTCTGGCAAGCAATATGTTGGCATATGGTACAAGCAAATTTCTGTCCGTAGAGTTGTTTGGGTTGCAAACAGAGAGAATCCGCTAATGATCACAAGCTCCACCTCCGGTCTAACAATTGGCGATGATGGAAATCTGCTCATTGTTGACGCGAACCATACTATTTTGTGGTCAACCAACATCTCCGTTTCTGTGAATCAATCTGTTGCGGTCCTCCTTGACAAAGGTAGCTTGGTACTGAGAGACGGTGTGTCAGGAAAGTCGTTGTGGGAGAGCTTTAGCCATCCTTGTGACATTGTCCTACCGGGCATGATGATAGGAATGGACACCAAAACAGGAGAGAAATTGCTCATGTCTTCTTGGAAATCGGAAGATGACCCGTCCTCTGGAAAGTTTGTTGCTGGAATTGCAACGACGAAGCCACCAGAAGCGTATGTTTTGAAAGACTCGGTTCTGTATTGGAGAAGCGGGTTGTGGAATGGATTGAAGTTTGTTGGGATGCCGGATCTGCATGGGGCATACTTAAACGGGTTTAATTTTGTACCACAGGTGCAAAATGATGATCAGTACTTTTTTACCTTCACTTTATTCAACACATCTTATGTTCGATTAATCAATCTGACATCAAACGGAGCCCTGACGTTTGTAGAGTGGAATGAGGGCATGAACGAATGGAATACTGTTAATAATGCCTTAGACAGCATGTGTGATGTGTATGGAGCATGTGGACCTTTTGGGATTTGTAACAAAAATAAATCTCCCATTTGCAGCTGCATGACAGGATTTGTGCCAAACTCTGATAGGGAATGGAATGGTGGAAATTGGACGAGTGGGTGTATGAGAAGAAGTGAATTATTTTGTATCAAGAGCAACAACAATCACTCTTCCTCATCAGGAAGTGGAAAAATTGACGGGTTTTTGAAGTTGAGCGCGGTGAAATTGCCTCATCTTTCTATATATGTACCACTTGATGATGAGGCACAGTGTGATCTTTGGTGCCTGAATAATTGTTCTTGCTTGGCATATGCATATATAATCGGAATAGGATGTACGACTTGGTCTGGAGATCTCTTGGATAATCAGCAGTTTTCGCTTGGCGGGGAGGATCTTTTCCTCCGTCTTGCCAATTCAGAGCTAGGTGACTGTAATTTTCATTTGGAAATTCTCTGAATTGGCCATTGATTTTTCCAGTTCTGTTTTGTTTAATTGTTTTGTTTTTCTTTACAGGTCATGGGAAAGAAAGAGCAAAACTCATCATCAGTTTGACAGTTATTTCTGGTGTTGGCTTCTTAGGTGCCATAACCTATGGTTTATGCAAGTGGAAAGCCAACCAAAGAGGTAAGGACAGTTCCTCCAATCCATACTTGAAAATGTTAATATTAGACTTAATACCACATGGCCAATTCAAGCCACCCAAACTTTAGTTAATATAATGTAAGAGTTTCTCCACTAATTATTAATGGGTTTTGAGTTGAATACTTTACCATGGTATCAGAGTTGAGTCTAGTGTCATTGGATTGGATGGGACTTGGGAGGCTGCTGTGGGACTTGGGTTTTGAGCTGAGGCCTGAGTCTTTTTTTATAATAAAAAATCAAGTTAATCAAAAATCTGTAACCCCATGATCAGATACTAATTACTTTTAAAAAATTATAAAGATGAAGTTAACCGTTTATTTTTAAAAAAAATAAATGTGCTCTTATTGCGGAGTTATAGATGTCCAATCAATTTGATTTTTGGCATGGATGTTCTAATCAACGAACCCTACACTATGAACGGTTCAAATTATTAAAAAAGTCTTGGGAAAGACCTCCATCGGAGCACCACAGGAAGCTGCTGTGAGTTGCTCACAACAGCATCCCCAATTCCCATTGGGATAACCCTTTTGTTATCATTTTCATTATTTATTATTTAAAAATTGAAATAAAAACTTCTTGATAATTTTATATTTAAAAGAAAAAACAGAATTGTTTCCAAAATTTCCCCCCCCAAAAAAAGAAAAGGAAACCTGAATTCATGATTATGAGTGATTATAAGCCATAACTTAACTGTCATGTTACAATCTCAAATTCCAGGAAAGCAGAAAAAAAGAAACAATCACTTTCACTTTTCTGATATATTTAACCCTACAAGAGCTGGCCAACATGGAAATTCTAGAAGTGACATGAGACACCAACCATCAGAATTACCAATATTTGACCTTGAGAAAATAGTGGCCGCCACCAAGAAATTCAGCACAAACAACAAACTTGGGGAAGGTGGATTTGGCCCAGTCTTCAAGGTAATTTCATGTTTTTCAAAGGGTGAATTAGATCATTGTTCCTTTTTAATTTGTGGGGCAAATTACACTTTGCTCTCTCAACTATCACCGTTTTTCGCTTTACCGTCTCAAACTAAAAATTGATACAATGTATCTCCTTCATCTTCTGAAAGTTTTCAATCTAACCATTATGTATCTATTCTGTTAACAAAACAAATAGAAAATATGCATAATTGTTAGATTGAAAACTTTTAGGAGAAGAAGGGGGTAAACTGAAAAACAATGATAGTTGAGGGGGGTAAAGTGTAATTTGCTCTAATTTGTGCAAAGTTTTACTTTGGTCTTTATATTTTCAATTTGAACAATTTTAATTCTATCTTTTTAGTTTTGTTGCAATGTGATCCCTCCGCTACTTACTATTAGAATGTTTAAGGGAAAAAGACAAGTGTCAAATTAGAGTTTCTTTTGATTTCCAGCTTGATCCGTCTAGTTTTGCATGTGTTGTTTTTCCATCTAAAATGGTAACGGTGCATGACGGATGGACAACATTGCAACTAAATTGGAAGTTTGGGGTTCAAAATTTTCAAATTGAAATTGCAAGGACTAAAGCGGCACCTTACTTAAATTATAAGGACTAATGGCTTACTTTACCCAAAAATGTTTCTCCTAACAAAATATTTTCTAGCAAAACAAATGTAACAATAATTGCAAACATTACAGGGAGAGATGGAAGATGGACGGGAAATAGCAGTGAAAAAACTATCAAGATGTTCTGGACAGGGCATAGAAGAGTTCAAGAATGAGATAATTCTGATATCAAAACTCCAGCATAAAAATCTTGTACAGTTGTTGGGTTGCTGTATAGATGGAGAAGAATTAATGATAGTTTATGAGTACATGCCCAATAGAAGCTTGGACACTTTACTCTTTGGTTAGTAATCTTTGCCTTCTACTAGCTCTTACTAGTACTACTATTCATTATACTCTCCAATTTCTGTTAAAGAACTGCAATGTCTAATCAAATCTAGATCACTAAATATTTGCCTAATGTAAGTAAGATTAAAACTAGAATTCCTTAACGCCATGTTTGATTTGTTAGAGTAATAGTGATGGGATTGACCATTGGATTGACTGTCTAGCAGGATAAACTTTTGTGGGATTGTCGATACCTACCCCCTTCGGTATTCAACATCCTACGAATTTATGGGCTTGAAAATCCTACATATTATGAAGCTGGACGCTATTTGGAGCAATACCCCAATCCTATACGCTCTAATATGGAATCAAACGGCTGTAAAGGGAGAATCCCATCAAAGGGAAAACCAATAGATTACCACACACATTCACATTAATTACCTTTCAAAGTAATTGTGACACTCCATTTACGCTGTGTTTGGTTGGGAGATTTGGGGAGGGATTTGGAAAGGGAAAGGGAAAAGGTGTGTGAAACTAGGTGAAATATAGGCATGTTTTATTTACATTTCACCTATCTTTTTCATTTCCCTTTCCAAATCCCTCCTCAAATCCCCCAACCAAACACAACATAAAAAAAAAAAAGTAACTGGTGACACATACATAACTTGTTCATTAATTCTGTGTCTCTAAGTATGCATATTCACACAAAAATAAACTATTTAGGATTGAACGCGCTATTCGTCTCCAAATTATATGCTGTGTTTCATTTTTGTTCCTTATATTTCAATTGTGTCAATTTGGTCACCAACTTATCCAATTTGTGTTTACATAGTTCTTAATGCTGTTTCAGTCCAAATTTTTGTCTAAATTTGTCCTAATGACCCTGCTTCTGTTATAGAATTTGGATAGAAACGGTGTTGGGGACCATTTAAACAGAAATTGGGTAAGTTATGGACCAAATTAACACAATTGAAATATTGAGGATCAAAATAATATCAAGTGCGTACTTTGAGGACCATATTCCAAAGCAACATCAAACGAGACATGCCCATGATACAGATGGTTTTTTTAAAACATGGGAGTTCTATTTCCTGTTTGCCATTCTAATTTCTTCGAGCCTGTTGCATCTGGTCATTCATTGCTATTCATGCTGGGTATCAACATTGCTATGCTTTGAAATTGCATTGTCATACATAAGAAGCACATTAACCTTCGTGTATTGTTTTTAAATTGTTGTGCTTCTTAGATTCCAAAAGAAGAGCACAACTTGATTGGGCTAAGCGCTTCAACATCATTTGTGGTATTGCTAAAGGACTCGTGTATCTCCATTATGATTCTCGTTTAAAAATTATACACCGTGATTTGAAAGTTAGCAATATTCTTTTAGATAAAGATATGAACCCTAAAATATCAGACTTTGGCTTGGCACGAATTTTTCAAGCGACACAAGAGCAAGCAAACACTCACAGGGTTGTGGGGACATTGTAAGTTTCATTTGTTTCCTTGAATTGATTGAAGCTCTCTACTTTCACTTTTACAACTAAATGGAATTAATCACATCAAAAATGGAGTAATTGTGCTGTAACTGCGCACTAATCACTATGTTATATTCCAATCAAATACAGTGGCTATATGTCGCCTGAGTATGCCTTAGGAGGGGTATTTTCTGAAAAATCTGACGTCTTTAGTTTCGGAGTCCTGTTACTAGAGATTGTTTCCGGGAAGAAGAACACCAGTTTCCAAAATCATGAAAAACATCTAAGCCTTCTTAGTTATGTAAGTGAATTATCTACTCAACGTGCCATTTTGAAAGGAAAAATTACCAAAAAATGGTTTCTAGAGAAACTAATTACAACTTGATAGAGAATAAAAAAAAATTATATTAAAGATGGAAATTTGCAAAATAATTACAAATGGGTGACGATATTGGTGACAATATTTTGTAAAATGATCGAATTACCCCTCCACTCTCTTCTCCCCATTCTCTTTTTTCTCTTATTTCTCTCTTCCTTCAAACCTCCATCCCCCCCCCATCCATACCCTCCCGCCAACCACTCCTGTTGCCACTAGTTCCTTCCCTACTCTCCTCCAAACTCCCTAGCTCCTCACCATCCTTCCCTGACCTCCCAGCACACCCCAATCCCTCTACAACCCTTACATCACCCCGATGCCTCCCTCCTCTTTTCTGTCTAGCCTCCCTTACCCTAAAGTTGACCAGCGGGGATGGGTTGTTGTCGAGGGAAGAGAATTAAGGAAAGAGGAGAGAAAAGAGGGAGGGGTAATTTTCGTCATTTACAACATAATTTTTCACCCATATGTAATTATTTTGCAAGTTTCCATCCCTATAGTAATTTATTTTTTATTCTCCATCAAAGCGTAATTAGTATATCTAGTTACCAATTTTTGGGGGGGTAATTTTCCTTTGAAATATTTCACAATTTCCTTATGCCTCGCTTTGTCTTTTTGACCATAGGTTTATAATTCAATGACTATATCAGGCATGGCAATTGTGGAATGAAGGGAGGGCATTTGATCTCATGGATCAAGTATTGGCTGACTCATTCTCCTTATCAGAAGTAATGAGATGCATCCACGTCGGCCTTCTTTGTGTTCAGGACCAAGTTGCAGATAGGCCAACCATGCCGGCTATAATTCTCATGCTAAGTAGTGAAACAGACGGTCCACAGCCAAAACAACCTACATTTACTTTCCGAAGCTTGTTGGACACTGGTCTTGGTTTGCAAAGTGACAATATATGCTCCATGAATGAGGACATTGTATCAACAGTTTATGGGCGATAACTGAGAAGTAGAGGTACCTCAACCATTGGGCTATTTAGCCTATCGCTTATGGCCAAAATGAGGACATTTTATCAACAATCTTACGCCGCTATTGCTGAGAAGAGAGAACTATCTATGCTTTGTTATCTTTGCATTTAGAATTTGACGCAGTTGCTGCAGTGGTAACAGCAACAACAAATTTGATTGTAAACAATATTATATACTCGAAGAAAATAATGTACTTTTAGGCATTGATACATACAATATTTCTAGTGTTCTGTTAAAAGTTAGTTGTAGGCCGTTGATTGAATAGTGTGCCATATGTTTATCATGCAACTAACTATTCTACCTTACCTTAGACCATGTTTATTTGGAGGACTAGATAGGATTCTGATTAGACCAGGGGAATATGTGTGTTCATAATTCTTCTCAATCTTCTGTTTGTTTGGCCTGATTTATAGTTTCAGTCCAGACTATTAAGCCCTTATATAAAGAACTATTGAATCTTACCTCCTTTGAGATAGATTGTCCCCCCAAATTATCTTAGCCATTCAAGCAATGGCATTAGGCCCCATTTAGAAGAAACCCCGAAATTTTGAAGACTAAAACTTAAAAAAATTATAATGCTATAACAATCACATTTTTTTTATATGACATTTTGTTATTATCTTGTATGTTAATATTATATTGATTTAATAAGTTTTGATTTATTAACATTGTAGTGTTAATATATGAGTGAGATAGTAAATAAAATATGTTGAGAAATTTTAGTCATTATTGAAAAGCAAACAAGACTTTTTTTAAAAAAGTGTGATGACTAATTAGATTAATTTTTCTTTCCTTTCTTAAGAGTAGTTTTCAAATAGTTACGAATTGTAATTATAGTAGCAACTTCAATTCTAGGAGTATGAGTAGTGATAGGTCAATTTACTTTTCTAAAATTATAACTTTGTACTCATCAAAAAAATTACAATTATGTTTTTGTAATTGTCGTCTTTAATTTAATTATATACTTTCTCTTTCTCTTTTATTATTTTTATTTTTTATTTATTTTTTTATTCTTTTACATTTGAAAATCTATCCGGGCGTTGGACCGCACACAAATTATGTTAAGACACTCTCCATCATTGCCTAACAAAATTTGATTAACAGGTATACATAATCAGTCCCAGTTTATCAAATGTTTTCAAAGAGACAACATTTAGGTTGTGTTTAGAGTATGAATTTGAATAGAAATTTAAAAAGAGAAAGAAAAAAGATAGGTGAAATGTAAATAAAATATAATTATATTTTATACACTTTTCTCCTTTTCTTTTTCCTTTTAAAATTTTATACAGAATCTCATCCAACAATATCATAGATGATGATTTCTAATTATGCAGATAAAGTTCATTAGAGGATTAGATACCATGTTAGAACTTGGAATATAAGTATAAGGTTTATTGAATTCAAAATGAAACCCGACTTAAAATTCTGTACTTAAAATTAAATGTGTTATGTAACAACAATTTTATTCAATAATGATAAGGTTTATTGAATTCAAAATGAAACCCAACTTAAAATTCTGTACCTAAAATTAAGTGTGTTATGTCAATAAGGTGATGATGATATTTGATAATTTACTTCAACACTTAAAACTAAATATATTATATGAAAACTAATTAAACTTATTTGATAATCATAATCGGCATCATTTTCAAATTTCAATAATTCTTACAATATAAGTTAAAAGTTAGAAAATTTTTAATTGATTGTAAACTTACTTAATGTTAGTTGAATTTATAAATATTTATGCATAATCATTGACGTACACCATTATAACCTTATCACCACCACCACCACCACCACCATTACTGGTATCACAGCTACCTCCTTTCATTATCACCACCTCCATCACTATTGTTACCGTTATCATCGATACCACCATCACAAACCACTACCATTATCACCAATACAACTACTCCAACCCTTCACATCTCACAACCATCGTCCCCATTGACATAATCACCACCATCATTCTACCACCACACTAACCACCAACGCCGCTATTTCCTTTCTATCTCCACTACATTACCTCTCCACTATAATTACAACCTTTATCCCTCCATCTCCACCACCATTGACATCATTCGCACCAAAGCCACTCTTATCACTTCCATCATCATCACAATATAAAAATTGAAATATATAATCCAAAAATAATAAATTTTAAATTTGATCTTTTACATATTAAACAATTTATTTTAATTGAACACTTAAATTTTTATCAAACAACTTTTTAACTTAAAAGAATTTGACATTCAGTACTTAATTTTAAAATTTTAGCCCTTGTTTGGGAACTTGGTTATCTTAGTTGATGTTTTGATTATTTTATGAAATGAAAAAAATAAAAATAAAAATATGCGTTTGGAATGATTTGTAAATTTTTTTTTATAGATAAATAAATAGTTGTGAGAGAAAAAAAAATGATTGATTGATTGATGTATAGAATATGACATTTTATCTTAATAACTATTTTAATTTCTTCTTCTTCTTCTTCTTCTTCTTCTTCTTCTTCTTCTTCTTCTTCTTCTTCTTCTTCTTCTTCTTCTTCTTCTTCTTCTTCTTCTTTTTTTTTAGTGTCTTTATTGGCTAATTTAGCTAAAATCCATCCTTCCAAACTAAAATAATAAACATCAAAATAAAATTTAAGTCAAAACTACAGCGATTAAAAGTGTGATTTACCATTTTTCAAATACTACATTGGTTATGATGTAAAACAAAAGCATGTAGGGACTTAAACATCATTATAGGAATTTGGAATTCAACAAGAAAAATTTGGAATTCAAGTCCCAAAAACAATTTATTCATTAGAAGCTCTCTTGCCATAACGTTGGTTTGGCTCATGACTTTTTGACTATTAAAAAAAATATTAAAAAATCAAAAAGATTAAAATACCACATCATATATATCAATTAATCATTTTTCCCCTCATAACTATCTATTCATCTATTAAAACTATTCCAAATGCACTAAATTTTTTCATTTCATACAAAAACTAAAACGCCGGTCTAAAATATTTTCAAAACAAACACAACAATTGAATTTAGGTAATTTTCACAATACCTAAAATCTTAATGAGAATGAACATGTCAACTAACAAGCTGTTTGTGAGCAAAATATCCAATGCTACACCAGAGAGTCACTTTCACAATTCTGATGAATATGAAACTCTTTACGTGTAACAGTTTCTGTCACACAATCTGCATTCTTTGCTTGTTAGTCATCAAGCCAGGTGAATTGTCACCATGATACCAACTCACACAAAGTATAATTTTGAATGTGGTTATTGTCCTTCAATAATTGATTTAGAGACAGTACTCATGAAACGTATACTATTGCATTGTGATCGAAGATCAGCGTCTGACAAACTTTGAGTAGTAAATATAGGCTGCTTTGGTTGTGGAACTTCTATTTCGCTGCTCAGCATGAGAACTACTGCTGACATGGTTGGCCTATTTGCAACATGGTCCTGAACACAAAGAAGGCCGATATGTATGCATCTTATTGCTTCTGTTTGGGAAAGCGAGTCATCCAATGATTCATCCATTAAGTCTAATGCCCTTCTCTTGTTCCACATTTGCCATGCCTGGAATAGTTTCACTTATGTCAATATATGAAATTATAAGAACCACATAATCAAGGCAACTAAAGTTTCTAAAAGCAAATTAAGGTCAAATTACTGCACTTACATAACCAAGGAGGTTTAGATATTGATCCTGGTAATGTAAACTAGTATTCCTCGTGCCACTAACAATCTCTAGTAGCAAAACACCAAAACTAAATACGTCAGACTTTTCTGAAAATAGCCCTCCCATTGCATACTCAGGAGACATGTAGCCACTGCATTTGATTAGAAAATGTAACGTTTATTCTTACATGAGATATATAACTACAAATAAATAAATGTTATGTAGCTACTCTAGCAATGAAAAGGGGAAGGCGAAAGAATTATTTACTGATCACAGATGAATCGCCCCAAATTCAAGTAGAAGTTGGAAGAAGATGGATTACCAAAAAGGAAGAAAAGAAATAACATAGAAGCAAATAAAATAAGTATTTTCCATAAAACAAGACAATTGCAGTCTAAGGGAGATGCTTATTTTGGAGTACTCTTGAAGCTATCTATGTTACATTAACTAATAGAGGAAGGCCTTTGCTGTATATTATTGAGATCATTGTTTTCAATCTGCTTTGTCTGCAAAATGTTGAGATAAGTTCACCATACTGGCTGTTAGTATATACTTGTTAATTAGAATAGCTTTAGCTTTATAATTGTTAATTGTATAGCTTTACTTTATACTTTCGGTGTAATTGTTAATTGTATAGCTTTACTTTATGCTTTCGGTGGTAGTGGGTTTTTTGGTATCCAATGCCCATATTTCTCTCTATAAAGAGAGACTTCATTCTCTTTGTAACATATAACAAATATTGAAACATTTCAGAGTCTCTCTCTCGCTCTCTAGCTTCTCTCACTCTCTCAAACTAATCTTTCACTGGCCATGGTCTATGAAATGAGAACGATGGCTAATCAGAGGGAGGGAGGGAGGGAGGGAGGGAGGGACAAAGTAAGATGAGGAGAGAAAGAGAACACTCCATGCTATTTATAAAGGTTAGGTGATTTTTTGTCCTACCAATTTTTTCTTTATCATATATCATGATTTGTGACACAAAGACCAAAGTGAAATTTGAGTGAAAGTTTAAGAGTGAGAAGTGTAAATTTTTACCTAAACAGTGAGTGGCAGAAGCTCTGTATTTGAACAAGGTTTGAAGTGAGAACTTAATTGTTGAAATTGGAAGACGAGCAACCAAAGTGAAATTGGAATGAAAATTCGAGGCCGAAAATGTAATTTACCCTATAATTTTTTTGTTTTGCCATTTGTTTTTCTTTGTAACCTATTATGATTCAATACATGAGCAGTTTGTCACTAATAACGATATTTAGGAAAATACAGTCAACTATTAGTGTGAACTGCCACTTTTTTCTTTTTCTTTTTTTTCATTTCCAAATTGTCCTGCCTCAGATTTTGATTTCAATAGATGAGGCACTCAAAGGTTGAACACACAGTATTTATCTAATGTAATGTAAAAAACAATGCTCAAATAGTCCATATTAATGTGCGTTTGGCAGGGAAAAGATTGGGTACAAACTTAACCTTTGGTATAGTGCACAAAGTGGTTTTCTCGAGACTTGAACCCATAACCTCAAGGTTATTAGGCCAAGATTTTGCCATTGCATAGCACTAGTAATGTAATGTATATTATCTAAAGCCTAAGCCTTGTTTAAAACTCTCACCTCCATCATAATCCAAGATATATTTTATGCGCAGCCCATTTGCATAGCACTAGTTAAGGATCACCTACTAATCAGGGACAGGGAGCCTGTTACAATCTCTGCTAGTGACTAACTCAACAATACTGTTATTTGTAGACACCTTGACATAACTACATCAGTAGGGAAAATAGTCAGCAAAACTGAGCAGCAGGAAAGAAAGGATCCTTACAATGTTCCCATCACCCTGTGAGTATTTGCCAACTCTTGCGTAACTCGAAAAGTTCGTGCCAACCCAAAGTCAGAAATTTTGGGATTCATATCATCATCCAAGAGAATATTGCTGGCCTTCAAATCTCTGTGAATAACCCTTAAACAAGAATCACGATGGAGATAAAGGAGTCCTCTCGCAATTCCCTGAATTATGTTGAAGCGTTTAGCCCAATCAAGTTCCACCCTGTTCTTTGCATCTAATCAGAAGCACGACAGTCAAAAAGATGCATTCATCAAGGTCAGTCCTCCCCTTACATTATATCAGCAGTGAGAATAAGAGAACAAGGAAAAACACAGTTTTAGCATTTCTTTAGTAACAGTAGTGAATGAACTATAAGCAATTGACGGTGAAAAATGAGACTGTAAATTATGGTGTTTTCCTTTTCAATAAAACAATGTGTCCGATTAAGATAGTTAATTTGGGAATATTTCACATATGGTTCAGTCCTACTTGAACCTACAGGGGGATTATTTTGTTTAAGGAGAGTAACTTGGCATAACAATAGTATTTCATGGAGAATCGTAGGGATTTTAGTCAATATTATAATATTCCTAATGAAACTTTAATCTACAAAAAATAAGCATGAAATGCAATTTTTAAGAGAGGGGAGGGGGGGAATTTCTTTGCCAAGTCAAACTAACCAAACAGAAAAGTGTCCAAGCTTCTGTTTTTCAGGTACTCATAAACCAGCAACTTCTCTTCCCCTTCAATGCAGCAACCCAAGAGCCTAACAAGATTCCTGTGCTGCAGTTTGGAGATCAATATGATCTCATTCTTGAACTCTTCCGAGCCTTGCCCTGAATGACTCGAAAGTCTTTTCACTGCTACTTCTTGCCCATCTTCTAACTTTCCCTGTGATGCATCATTTTTATTATTTAATACATTGATACATGTTACCTATGCATATATATATATATATATATAGAATAGTCCACAAACTTTATTGATTACTACATAACTATACGTATATCACAGGTGCATGTATATGGTAGTATCAAATATTTCAAAGAAAAGAATTTGTTTACCCAATAAACAGGGCCAAATCCTCCTTCCCCAAGTTTATTCGTGCTGCTGAAGTTATTGGTAGCAACTAATACTTTATCAAAGTCTAACAGTGGTAGCTCCGATGACTCTGAATGTATCATATGGCTTCCCCAGAGATTATCTTGTGAGTTGTCCATTCTATCAGGCAAATCAAATCCTTTTATCCTGTTTCTTCTCTTTACTGATGTTCAAGGTTAAACCATGTGACAAAAAATCAATTAGCCTTCTCAGATGAAGCTTGAAGACCAAGAGAATTGGAATATTTCAACAATAACTGATTATCATAATTAAGACAACATGTTTCATTGTGAATCGATGGGAAAATGATGCGGACACAGATATGTGACATGATACCGACTCGACACTGACATGTTGACATGAAAATTTTCAAGAAATGTAAGACACAAATACGTGGGACACATGCAAATAAATAATTTTATGTATTTATTATATGTCATATATAGTAAATAGAGAATTTGAGACATCACAGATAAGGAATTGGCCATGTCCTACGACTACCGAAATTTTACAACCCTGCCATTTATTTTTCTCTTTTTCTAAAATAAAGATTGTTAGGCAACAAAACCACCAAATTTATGACTTAGCAATTACTGATAAAAGAACCAACTGGGGCTACCCAAGTTGACCAGAACCTTGCACCTCACTAGAAAGTCATCGGCTCAAGCCTTGTCTCTCCTCTCCCCCAGGCTACCACCTCCTATATATTTAAAAAAAAAAAAAAAAAAACTAATAAGAGGATTGTAACTAGTTTTTCTGTGTTTGGCAGCCCATTTTTTTTTTTGTAAAATCATCTTATTTCTCATAATTTATGGTTCATAGAACAATGATTCTGTTTCTCATAATTTATGGTTCATATAACAATGATTCTGCAGATCTAAGCATTAATCCACACAAAAACTAAGGAATTTTCATAGCATCTGCAGAAACCAAAGAAGAAGAAAATGTTTTTGAATCCGTCATTTGTAATAGAATTCAGACTAATGTTTGGACCGGATGAAGGTAGAATTCAAACTACTTTCGATGGAATGACAGTCATTGTTTACCTAGAGAAATCTTTAGTATGGCTTTCAGGGAGAAATGAATATTTCTAGTTCATTTACTAAAAGATGAAGTAACGATGATTGGTTGTTCAATGTAATCAATGTAAACAAGCAGTAGAGCATTCTTACCTCTTTGGTTGGCTCTCCACCTGCACGAACCAAAGATGACAGCACCCAAGAGGAGAACCACAGAAATTGTCGTTACACTGATAATGATTATTTCTCTTTTTTTCTTACGATCTTCACCTGGAAAAATAAAGAGAAAATGAAGACTCAAACTTATATATATATATATATATAAGGGTTGGCAATATTACTCATTCGCAATATATATTATGGGCAGAATTGAATTTACCCAGCTCTGAATTTGCAAGGCGGAGAAAAAGGTCATTCCCGTTAATTGAGAACTGCTGGACATCAATGAGGCCTCCAGACCAAACCATACACCCAATTCCAGTCACAAATGCATAAGCCATACAAGAACAGTTACTCAAGCATCGTTGTTCACAACTTGAGGAAACCTCATTGAACAAATAATCATACTGATCAGGCAGCTTCATTCCACTCATTCTCCAAAACCCATCATTTTTAGCTCCAGCTGCAGCTAAGCTGCTACTGTTCTTTTGGCATAGGAGTTCCAATCGCCTCACACATCCACCTGTCCAATTTCCTTTGTTCCAATCCTCAGTTGAATTGGGTACAAACCCTTTTAAGCACTCACAAATTGGGGACTGGTTCTTGTTGCAAACCCCGTTTGGTCCACAATATCCATAGACATCACATGGATTCGCAGGTGCCACCCAATTAACATGCCAGCTCTTCGTTTCTTCAGCCCACACCATCGTATTCACTGTTCCTGCTGGTGTCATGACAATAATTGTGACAGCAGAGGTGTTATACACGTTGAATGAGAGATACACACTTTGCTGCTGATTATCCGGTACAAGGTTGAGTCCATTGACATAGCCCTGTCCGCTGTCTGGTATACCTATGAACTTCCATCCATCCCATGGACCACCTCTCCACAAAGTCTTGGAACCATTCCAACAGACAATTTGTGGCGGTCTATCTGGTGTAAGTCCAAGAACAAAATTTCCAGGTGATGGGTCACCATCTGTTTTCCAGGAAGACAGGAATCGTTTCTCTCCTGTGTTGTTGTTCATTCCAATCATCATCCCTGAGAAAAAAGTGTCACATGGATATTTAAAGCTTTCCCATGAGATAAATCCCGAGACATTATCTTTGAGAACAAAATCTCCCAAGTCAGAAAGCACGGCAATTGTGCTATTTGATTGGACAGAGCTATTTGTAGACCAAACAGTGTTCCTCTTGCCATCTAATAGTCTCAGATTTCCATCGCTGCCAATTGTGAGACTTGAAGCAGAGTCTGTAGCTTGAAGCGGGTTCTCTCTGTTCGCCACCCACACAACTTTGCGGTCAGGTATGTTCTTGTACCATATCCCTATATATTGTTTACTAGAATTGCTGGGAGTGAAGAAGCCTAACTCAAATATTTGGCCTGCAGAAATGAGATTTTGTCCTACTAAGATTTGTTGGGACTGAGTCAAGGTATCAGTTGCACATACTGATGGAAATATTAAGAAATACAAGAGCAACGAGAATGACAGAAAATCACAAGCATTACTTTTATTTATGATACCCATTTTCCTCTGTCACCTGCAATATTGTATTGTCTACAGCCGAGTTGAGTGCTTTAGCAAATCAACCACAGCTAAGCCTTTTGTCATCCACATTCCAAACCCTTGCCTGCCATTGAAGTTATCAATCCCGGACAATGTACCATTTCTGTCATTGGTACGAAACGGGACTGATAACAATGCCTGCCATGATTTAGCTATTGAGACAACTCTATCAGTAGGAAACTAAAAAGTTGGATCCAATTGCATTGCTGTGGCAATTGAATGAAGAACAAACACAAGGGTGGAGACTTATACTACTTTCATGGAAGTCATTTCCAAATAGTTTTAAAAAGTGGTTTTATGTAATTTATGAAAATGAATTCAGCGCGGCTGAAGCATTTTTCAGGTCAAATGGATAACAACTGAAGAAAAATACAAAGTAATATTCATGACACTAAACGGATATAAATAATATTATCTCCATCACCACTAGTGCAATAAAAAAAAAAAAACGGAGTCAACTTTCTAGAACACCCCCTGATGGAAGAAATTAATTAGCTTGTTTGGTTTCGTTTTTCTGAAAATAGTTTTCAGAAAATTCTACCTTCTTATTTTTCGTGTTTTTTTGTTTCTAATGAATTTTTTTAATATTTTAAGTAATTTTTTTAATTTTTTGATATACCTAACATAAATATATTTAAAAAATAAAAAATTTGTGAAAAAACCTTTTAAAAATTCACTAAATACCAAAAATATAAAAAAATACGAGAATTCAATACATTTTTTTTATATTTTTATGTATTTATTAATTTTTTAAAATATTTTTTCATAAATTTTTTACTTTTTAGATACATCTAAATAAGGTGCATCTAAAAAACTAAAAAAATGTTTAAAATTTTAAAAATATTCACTAAAAATAAAAAAATACGAAAAATAAAAAATTCAATTATCAAAAAATTTAATCCAGAAAACTTAAACCAAACATTGTGAAAAAACAATGGTGGTGGCTGAGGCAATCTTCAGATCAAATGGATAAAATATTATTGCACATGCCATGACATAGAAAGCTGGAAATCAATGGTTTTATATAAATATATAAATTTCCGTAGATTTAAGTCAACTTTATCAAGCTGCAATGTTCCCACTGCTCCTATCAAAGCCAACAATGCAAAAAGCATCTTCAAAAAAATCCAACACCACTTATGTAGAGACAAACTCATCTTAGTTTAATTTTTATAGATTAAATTACATAAAACTCCCTAGAAATTTCAAACAGTTACAAAAACCTCCTTGTAGTTTTTAAAATTATGTTCTCCTCTATGAAGCATAAATACTTCTAAGAAATAAATGTGACACGAAATGGCAAAACAAAAAGATAAACAAATCAAAGAAATCAAACACACACACAAGAACACAAAGATTTATATAGTTCATCCCAGAATAAAACTATATCTGGCTGCTGTGGTTTACATTATAATCAAAAAAATAATACAACTCTATTAACCAACAAGAGGTGCTCCTTCATCTATTTATAAGTATAAAATTAAGATAATACGGAAGCAATTGAGAAATTATCAAAGTACCCCGGACCCCTCCCCTTGGACTCAGTGTTCAGTGAATAATATTTATCAGGGTTCACAGACGCAACATATGTTTGTGTCACATTTCTTTCAAACATCAATACTCCTCGAAAATTTCCCGGCACATATCTCGAACACTCGTCAAAACAAGCTTTTTATTTTATTTTTTATACAAAGACATGATTCGAACATTTGGGAGACATATGTGGCCATCACTTAGATGCAAATGAAACTAACTATAAATTTGACCAAAACACTAGAGATGAAAAGATATAAAAATAATATAAAATTATAAAAATTAATATTGTGTTGTATCATTCAATTACTTTTGAAAGATACATTCATATATATATATATATATATATGAGTAAATTATAAATGCACTCTCTGAAGTTTACTTAAAATACGGATTGTCTTTTGTAGTTTAAAAAATTACAAATATCTCATTGTAAAAAAAATTTATTTATTAAAATTAACTGAAAAAATAAAATTCTTAACCGCTGTCCTATATAATAATAAAATTACTTGAATTATTAGTTGAAATAAAATTTTAACATCATTAAAAACTATTAATTAATTTGATATTTTATTAATAAAAGGGTTATTCGTTATGAAATTAAAAACCTTAGGGGGCGGGATATAATATCTAGAATCACAAAGGGCAATTTATATTTTAAACAAATCTCAAGGGGTGTGTTTGTAATTTATCCTAAAATAATTAGTGAAAAATATATTTTCATCACCAATAATTTTAAATATTTTAAAACTATTTAATGAAGAATATATTTTCATTATCAATAATTTTAATACTTTAAAATTTTTGGTGAAAAAATTATTTTATCACCAATTTTAAAGTGGGGAGGCAACTTTAACTGAAAGGGACATTACGGTTCAGCGGTCACAACAGTCGCCTCCCTTTGTTAATGGACTGTCAATAAGGTTTACAAAGCCTATCTCAGCATTTTATTTTATGATATCACAATGTCAAATTTTCCCTTAAAAAATTGAAACAATTATTTGTTTCCCCGGACAAACAAACACAGGATATCCCATCAATTTCTTGTCTCTATGCCAAACGCATCACAGGCCCACTACTCTCATGGGGGCTTTTCTCATATTAAAGTCTATTTTGTATCTTAATTTTCAAATTAGGTCTAGTTTCGACGAAATTTCCAAACTAAGCTAAAGCGCTATTACAAATCGCGCTTTCACTATTTGGAGCTCAAAATGGGATGAATAGTGAAAGTACTATTGCAAATCGCGCTTTTAATTAAGAAAGCGCTGTTGAAAATCACGCTTTTAACATAAAAAAAAATTTCTGAAGAAAACGCTATTCGAAATAGCGCTTTCACTGTGCATTCGTATTCGGAAGAAAACGCTATTTGAAATAGCGCTTTCAGTGTGCATAGCTGTTTTCTTAAAAAAACGTTTAAATTATATTAAAATGTGACCAAAATAAAACACAAATGCTTTGTAGCACAAATGGTAGTGGGCTTGTTTTGCCACCACAGTGGCGTGGGTTCAATCCGCGGGAATTGCTACCTTTCAATTAAGTTCAACTCTTTTTTTTTTTTTTTTTCCTTCCACTCACTCTATACTTTATATATTTATTATGTAATTTTTTTATCAAAAAAAAGTAAAATGTTTGTTTGGTTAACTAAATTTTTTTTCTATAAAATACAATTTTTTTCAAAATGTCAACATGATTATTTAAAAAGTATTCAATGTATTTGGTTTGAATTTTTTGGATTTAGTTATTTGAAAATTGAGTTTTTTATTTTCGTATTTTTTTTGTTTTTAGTGAATATTTTTAAAATTTTAATTTTTTTTTTCTTTTACTTTTTAAGATGCATCTTAGTTAGATATATCTAAAAAGTAAAAAAATTGTGAAAAAATATTTTAAAAAATTAATAAATACATAAAAATACAAAAAATGTACTGAAAAAATATTTTTATATTTTTAGTACCTTTTCAGCAAATTATCATTTTTTTCAGCAAAATGTACTCAAAAAAATATGCACAGTGAAAGCGTACTCAAAAAATATTTTTTCAACAAAATGTACGCTTTTAAAATGTACCAAATATTTTAAAAGAGTACATTTTTTGAGTACATTTTGCTGAAAAGTTTTATATTTTGTATTAATTTTTTCAGTACATTTTTTGTATTTTTTTATATTTTTTCACTCACTCTATACTTTATATATTTATGAAAAAAAAAATGTACGCTTTTAAAATATTTTAGTACATTTTAAAAGCGTACATTTTGCTGAAAAAATATTTTTGGAATACACTTTCACTGTGCATATTTTTTTGAGTACATTTTGCTGAAAAAAAATGATAATTTGCTGAAAAGATACTAAAAATACAAAAATATTTTTTCAGTACATTTTTTGTATTTTTATGTATTTATTAATTTTGTAAAATATTTTTTCATATTTTTTTTATTTTTTAGATACATCTAACTAAGGTGCATCTAAAAAAGTAAAAAAAAAAATTAAAATTTTAAAAATATTCACTAAAAACAAAAAAATACGAAAATAAAAAAACTCAGTTTTCAAATAACTAAATCCAAAAAATTCAAACCAAATACACTGAATACTTTTTAAATAATCATGTTGACATTTTGAAAAATTGTATTTTATAGAAAAAAATTTTAGTTAACCAAACAAACATTTTACTGTTTTTTGATAAAAAAATTACATAATAAATATATAAAGTATAGAGTGAGTGGAAGGAAAAAAAAAAAAAAGAGTTGAACTTAATTGAAAGGTAGCAATTCCCGTGGGTTACTGTGGTGCAAAACAAGCCCACTACCATTTGTGCTACAAGGCATTTGTGTTTTACTTTGGTCATTTTTTAATATAATTTAAACGTTTTCTTAAGAAAACAGATATGCACAGTGAAAGCGCGATTTTCAATAGCGTTTTCTTCGGAAAACGAATACACAATGAAAGCGCTATTTCAAATAGCGTTTTCTTTAGGAAATTTTTTTATGTTAAAAGCGTGATTTTCAACAGCGCTTTCTTAATTAAAAGCACAGTTTACAATAGCACTTTCACTATTCATCACATTTTGAGCTCCAAACAGTGAAAGCGCGATTTGTAATAGCGCTTTAGCTTAGTTTGGGAATTCCATCCAAACTAGGCCTAGTTTGGGAATTAAAATACAAAATAGGCTTAATATGGGAAAAGCCCCACTCTCATGCCTTCCTCTCTGTTTTGTTCCTTTCCGATGATCATTTAGTATTTTCAGAATATGGACACGTACTGTTTTATAAGGTTTTGATTGGTAAAGAGGGGTTGGACTTCACGATTTATGTTGAAACAAGAGAACAAGATAGGACTAATTAATTGGTGATTGATTTAAAATATGACCACGTGGTGTTTCAAAATTATTAAATAATTTCCCTTTGGCACTCCAAAGCTATCACCACCACCCAACTCCTACACCTGCAAATTTCATTTCATTACCCCAACACCAGCAGCCCGCCACCACTACTTTCAACAAATTATTGTGGAAATTTAATGCCAAGTAAAATAATATTGATGGTTTTGGAAACCCAGCACTCAAGAGTCAAGACTAGGATTGGGGTTTTTGAAATTTTCCACAAAACTGAATATATGTATATATATACTGGCGATTGGCAAAATTTACAATTTTAAAAAATAAAAAAAATATATATATATATTTATTATATAAACTCAAGTGAGTCTTTTTCAATAGAAAAAAAAGGTTCCAGTCCACTCGTCTCATCTATCTAATATGTATATATATCGAGGCTTACAG